CCACCACAACAGAAAAATTAATTGATTAAATCTCTTGCAATGTTTCAGTCACACTTGCATACTGCCAAAGCCTACTGCCGACAACTATCGAGTTATTATATCGACTGTGTCTGGAGAAGATGGCGAACTATTTGATCTGATGGAGTATTACAGATACTTGATAGTGGTAAGTAAAGTTTACTATCATTGCAATTGCTACCACCCATGGACACCCGAAACACTAGAGGCGTTACAAGTGCGTTTCCGGCCTTTTGGGGATTTGGAATTTGTGGGTTGTTGGGGATTCTGAGATCGGGGAGATTGGAGAGGGGGCCTCTAATTGGGCCTCTCATAACTTCAATCATACAACGAAACGACGCAAGCATTGATTCACGTCGGTTTTGTGTGAGACTGTGTAATATCACTCCGATCAAGACAGTCCATTCCTGCCGAAGCATGGCTCTCCCATACTTAAACCGTATGGTAAGATTCTACAATTGGTACAGTGGCTAAGGAACTGACACACGAACTGAGACCTTATGTGACCCACAATTAATTGGTGAACCACGTGAACTATAGAAATGGGTCGGTACATTTTTGTATACATGATTTTTCTGTGAGTGTGTATGTCACTGAGCTTCTCTCAAACGACTGTACCGATTTTTATGAATTTTTTTTGTGTGTATTCAAGGGGACATGGGAATGGTTTAGATTCACAAATCAGCCCGGCAGATGGCACTGCAGTCGATGTTTAGGTTATTTATCCTAAACAGCTGAACTAATTTGAATGAATTTTTGTTTATACATTCAAGTGGATATGCAGGACAACGTCTGTTCGGTCCACTAGTAAGATATAAAATGAAAACTTTGTTTTCAGCTGGGCGAATACATGATGCACAATGATTACTGCCACGGCTACGAGCTGGTTGGAGTCAGTACAAACGTGTCCATGGCAATAGTAAAGAAATTGAATCCAATCATCATGCATAAGGCTGTGACGTTGATTACTGTATGTATATAATATTTTTGTGTTTAAAAAACATTGCTCCACACTAGGATTTTGTCGCGGAGAACCTAACGGGTAACCGGGGCTCCGACTCGACGTGCAGGAGAAGGAACGGGGTGGTCTTTAGTAAGTAAGAGTCTGAAACTCCCTCCTGCCTCACCTAAGCTGGAGAAGTCATTCGACGATGAAAAAACAGTGTCTAACCGTCAAACAATTTTCATATAAGAAACTTGAGGTGCAGAGAAAAAATATTCCAACATTCGTCCATAGCTGGGACTTTTATATTTGAGACCGTTTTCTGAATCGTGGTGTTAAGATTCTCCGCCAATACTATGTTAATATATAATATAATAATTGAGAGCCTCCCGAAGTATTCGCCAACGTACATCACTCAACGCACAAAAAATAAGTTTATCTTCATCATCATTAATATTATTATCAACAAGATGTCTACACTAAATATAGCTCTCCCCAAATGAATGACTTCCAGTTCAGCAGGTTGTGACCTGTCCAGTGGCTCATTGTTGCCTGTGTTAAGTTTTATGGATAGATTTTTTTTAAGGAGTGGAAATCATCGAATTACTTCTCACGCCCGGGTGAAGCGAGAGGGAGTGTCAGACTCTTACTGACTATAAACCACCCTGTTCCTACTCCTACATTTCGAGCCGGAGCCCCGGTAACCCGTTAATTCCTCAGCGGCTCCGTATGGATAGATGTTAAGTTCTATAAAATATATATTTTTTATTCAATTTCTATTTCAGGATGCTTTAGGGCAGAGAATGAAGAAGATTCATCTTATAAGCGACTCCAAGTTCTTTGAGACCATCCTGGTGATCTTTAAGCAGGCCCTCACAGCAAAACTAGCTAAAAGACTGATAGTTCATAACAGTTTCGAGTCGTTACATGAACATATAACTAGAGAACATTTGCCAAAAGACCTTGGAGGCGACGAGAAGACCATGAAAGAATTGGCTGGTAAGAGATTTTAATTTGAACTGTTCATGGGTCTATTGGAAAATTTGTAAATAATGTATGGTGATATTATATGCCTCGTTGGCGGAGTGCTCGCAACGAGTCTCGGGTTCGATTTCCGGGTCAGTTATTGTACTAATGGGTTTTTAAAAAACCTCAGTAGTAGTACGGTGTCTGGATTTGTGCCCGGTATATGGCAATAAGCTCACCCCCTATTCATGGGATTTATAACATAAAGAGTGAAAAGTGGGTGTTACATGGTACAGTGGCGTTAAGTACCGGAATGTGCACGCACGTCTGCCTATGTCGGGGATAAAAGGCGTGATATTATGTTATGTTATATATCACCGCTTTATTTGGAATATGAACTTTAATTGACAGTGACTGTGGTATTGAAATTAATTGTTTCGAAAGTACAATACTTACTTCTTCATACGAGGTCAACAAGGGACTTTGATTTGTGGAACCAGAAGTACTTTCATTTACATTTTTTTCCTAACAGGGTAGTAGACTAATTTTTTTTTTAATGTCCGTCTGGTGAATTATTATAAAACGTTAAAGAAGTATTTTTTCTTTTCTTACAAAATTAAATACTTTCAACGAGAAATAGATTTCAAATGTCGTGTGATGTGACGTAATGACCTTCACATCCTAAACTCAACTCCGTTTTATCTAAGTATTGTTTCCTTATACGACAAAATAAAAAAAAATTGGGTCTAATATTTTATCATTATCTAACTGATGAACTATTTGTTTTATTTTATTTTATTTTATTAACACTTCTGTATATTATAACATACGATGGCGGACTTAATGCCGGGTGGCATTCTCTAACAGTCAACCATGGGGTGATGCAGAGATGTGCAACAGTAGCTGTAATAGGTATAATGTAAATTACATAAGATACATTATCAATATTACTAAATAACAATACTATAAAAGATAATAAATAAATTGGGAATAACATAACTACTACTACTAATAACTACATATCGAGGGGTAACGGACCACCTATTGGAGCTATTGAAAACATTGGAGCCCAAATGGTCCCGTACAGTTTTAGAGTTTGCAGTTTTAGAAGAATTTTCTCCCACGGACCCTCCGATTGTGGAATGAACTCCCTGCCGTGGTTTTCCCAGTGGACTACAACATGGGGTTCTTCAAGAGGGGAGTGAATAGGTTTCTTAAGGGTCGGCAAGACGCATGTAATGCCCCAAGTGTTGCAGGCGTATATAGGCCACGGTAACCGCTTACCATCAGGTAGGTCGTATGCTTATTTGCCACCGTTGTGGTATAAAAAAAGTGTTTAATTTTATGTTTTATGTTTTATTTATTTGGACTCCCAACAAAAGATACACTTACATGCAAAAAAATAATCCACCACACGTTACAATAACCTTGTGATCCTTCAATTAAAGGGAATCACATCATGCCCATACAAACATTTATAGCAATTGAATGAAATTAGATTAAATTAAATTACAGAAATGTCAAGAAAATACAAAAGAAATACAATATCAAAAATCCATATCATAACATAATGCAAAACAAGTCAAATAAAAAAAAAATATTAAACATAAACAATTTTGGAGGAACAATTCATAAAATAAGGTCTATTTAAAATTAGAAATTAAATGAAATAATCCTTGTATCCTATCCTAAAGGTAATTTTGTGAGAAAAGAAAAAATACTTGTCTAAAATGAAAATAAAATTTAGAAAGCTACGGTTATTATCATTATTTATCTATTAAACTTGATTTTTCTTCTTTACAGAAATGGATTTCAAGGCAATAAGCTCAGATGAGCATATAGCATTTGTGAAGAGGATGGAGACAGCTACGACAGATGAGTCCCTCCGACCATGTGCCAAGTTTAACGAGGACTATTCTGGTACACCAGGCTCCTTCAAGACATTGTGTGTGGATTAAAATTAAGTATAAATTATTGTTGGTACTGGGAATGATAAAGCTGATATATCTTTATATATATTATTCTGCTGAACGTGTGTATGTCATTGAACTCCTCCTAAACGGCTTGACCGATTTAAATGATTTTTTCTGTACGCGTTTGAGTGGCGGCCTGGATGGTTTACATTCACAAATCAGCCCGGCAGATGGCACTGCATTCGGTGTCTAGGTTAATTATCCTAAACGGCTGAACTAATTTGAATGGACTTTTGTTTATACATGCAAGTGGATATGCAGGACAACGTTTGTCGGGTCCGCTAGTTTTATATAAAAAACAGCATTTATTACATAAACGTCACGGTTCATATTTGAATGTAATTCCAAAAACATTATTTGTGTTTGAGATTTGAAACGTCATTATCTAAATTTAAATCTTTGGTCCATCAAATGATGATCTGTTTTGCTATATTTGAAGAAAGAAGCAAATATAGAACTGTATTGTGTGTTCTGTTCCGTCTTAGTGATCTTTTAACTGAGTGTAGTTATGTGAAATTTAGCCTTTGCTTGGCCTGACCTTGAAATTTCACCTTAATAGGTGATTAATGCACGGCACCGCACAGCGCCGCGGAAGGCGAATAAAAAATCTCATGTCGCATTGACCCCTTATAAATATGTAGATGCCTAGCACACATACATCGCCCGAACGTTAGGCTCGAACGGTGCGCTCAACGCCACCGCCACTATGCGCTGCCTTCCGCGCTGTGGAGCGGCGCCTCACACACAGGGCGCCGCATAGCCGCGCGGATCATCCTTGGTTCAGGACGTGTTGCAATTTAAAACTGGAATTCAATGTGAATAAACTGGTTAAAACTGTGCTAAATCTATCCGCGCAGACAGGCGAGTAAACATCCTTTCTGCGTAAAATTTTTTCTTATTATTTAATATTTAAATATTTTGTTTTGACGTTAAAATTGCCTTCCTGTTCTAATTGAAATAAATTATTTTGACTTTGACTTTGATCATACTTTCTCTCGCGCCTGCAAAATTGAGTTAAACCATTAGTTAAGTTCCAAATCGGCCATCCCATTGCAATCGACATCATTGCATAGCAGACCGCGCGGGTGCGGGACCGCGGCCATGCGCGCCGCGCGCCGTTGCAGCGGAAGCTGCAAACAATCACAACCGCCACGGGTCTAAAAGGCGCCGTGAAAATTGCTTTGATTTTTTATCTGTATTATACGACGGCTGCGGGCCCACAACCGCGGCGGATGCGAGAGAAAATCTCATTGTGAGTCCTTAGCTTTACCATCGCGCCGTCGCCCGCCGCGATGCTATGCGGTGCCGTGTGCTTATCGCCTTAAACAGTACCTTTGATACAACTTATCAAAAGTATCCAACAATAAATTTTACATAACTTTAAATCTCTAAAAAGTATTTAATGGATAATGAGACTTACTCAAAATCAAATCAAAAAAATCAAAAATCAAAATCAAAAAATGTTTATTTCGTTATTACACGTTACTTACATAAACAATTTGGATATTTCCTATATTAAAACCGATGAAAACAAAACTTAATGCGTTTGAATTATCCCTTCATAATAAACCTTTTATAACTGATGTTCTCTGACTTTTACCTATTTGATGTTAAAAGTCGTAAATTCTGCATTTCTTTTATGCTAATAATTATTAATAAACTTGGGACACCATAGTCTGTCTTGCTGCAGAAATGTAGACAGCATCAACGACATCATTCGTCGTGCTCTTGCCTCAGCCGGCGTACTAGCCATATTAGAACCTAATGGTTTGGTACGTGATGAAGTAGACAAGAGACCAGATGGTATGTAGTTGCTGCCGTGGACGTGTAGGCCATTGGTGTGGGACGCGACGTGTGTAGACACCCTTTCGCCATCACATCTTCTAAGTACCGGTGCATGCGCTGGTGCGGCCGTTTCCGCGACAGAAACCCTCAAATTATTTAAATTTGTGTCAATTTATTAATAGTTATGTTCTTTAAGTTTCTTAATTGTAAATAAATACAATATTACAATATTTTTGTATAATTATGACATTTTTATTAGCCTTTTATCCCCGAAGGGGTAGGCAGAGGTGCGGATTACGGCACTTAATGTCACTGTACAATATAACATCCACTTATCACTATTTCTGTTTTGAGTCCCATGTAATAGAGGATGAGCGTATTGGCATATACCGGGTATAATATTCCAGACTCCGTGGTACTACTGAGATTTTTTTATTTTAAAAATCCGGTTGATCTGTAAGATAATGATAATGATATTATTTATTTGTATAAACATGTGTAGGTAACATTATACATAATATAGATTCAGATGACAAAGTAAAAACTGTAACATCTCAACATGTTTAGCCACAATTTACGTAAAATAATTACAAAATTTATAAGAACGAACTAAAGATAAAATATATGAAACAGTCAACTTATAAATAATCATTTAAAAATCTTTAAGATTAATTAATTAGAAAATACAATCAAAGATTTAATCAGTATGAAGGTAAAGTCAGACTACAAGCTAGCTAAACTGAATATTGGTGTTACATTGTTCTCACATAATTGAACGGTGAACCAACGAAACAATGTAACCAAGAATCAAATTGTGAACCTGATTGACAAGGTGTAACCTATGGAGTGAAACTATGAGGTGTCGTGCTGACCCGGAGGCTTTTTTTTTTTTTTAAGGTGGGAAAATCATCGAATGACTGCTCCCGCCTGGGTGAGGCGGGAGGGAGTGTCAGACTCTTACTGACTAAAAACCACCCCGTTCCTTCTCCTGCACGTCGAGCCTGAGCCCCGGTTACCCGTTAGGTTTTCCGCGACTCCGAATCGGCATCGGCCCTATTGGGCCCCATCTGTGGTGGTCTGATGGCTCTTTGAGGCGCGCGCGGAACGCGACGCGCCGTACGCTCGGGTCTGTTTCTGGTCGGACGGGGAGCCACCCATGCTCGCCGTCCGCAGGCCCGCGCTTACGGTGGCCGGAGATCGTCTCGCGATCCCCGACGCCCGGTGTGTCCTTCGCGATGGCTGGTCGCTGCCTCATGCGTCCCGCCGCCTCCTCGACCCGGAGGCTTAAGACGCCCTCTTCTCATGCATGAGGGTGCGCGTTCGAAACCTAACAACGGCAAGTACCAATGTGACTTTTTCCGAGTTATAATATCGAGGGGTAACGGGCTATTTGGTTTAAGCGACATTTTGGGCGATATTGAGTAATTATATTATATATTCGACGGAGAAAAATTCGCTGATTCCGAATATATATATAACTCAATATCGCCCAAAATGTCGCTTAAACCAAATAGCCCGTTACCCCTCGATATGTACTTTGTAAGATTATTTAGACACCACTGACAAACAGTAAAGGAAAACATCGTGAGTATTCTTATTAGAAAACGACATTTTCTTAGAAATAATGGAACCTGGTAAATCGATAATTGCCCCCTGAAACCCCAATACAAATTTTCGTATTAGATTTGTAATCAATATCTTTTATCTTTTTCAACACACTGTTTTATCTTTTGGGCAAGAAGACGTGACTTTTTCTCTTTTTACAAGATTTTATTTATTTACTTAATAATTTATGTACACACAAACAGCACAGAGGATAACACATATATATAAAATAAGAGTACATAGGTGCTATTTATTCCTATTGGAATTTCTTCCAGTAGACCTGATACAGGAAATGTAATATAAATATTAGACACAGTGTGAATAGAAGGTAAAAGAAAAAATACGTTTGGAATTAAATATGTATAAAAAAAATATAACTAAATTATAACTATATTATAAATAAATGTAATATAAATATAAATACTTAATATAAAATAATAACTAGACTTAGCTCACGAGGTCGTCGACATGTGGAGTGTGGATTCGGCTATCATTGTGCCGATAGTCGTGTCGGCCAATGGGTCAATCCCTAAAAGCCTCCACATCCATCTTAGGAGGCTGGCGTTAGGTGGATGGATCAAGGGCCTGATACAGAAGGCAGTTCTCCTAGAAACGGCACGTATCGTGAGGAGGTTTCTGTCTCTGGAGCCCTAACCACCGGTAGCTTGGACCATGCTCCCGCTACTGGTCGGCTCCTATTTTTTATATTTTTAAATATTATTTTTATTTTATAAGTAGTGTTTAAAAATGTGTATAGAGAATTTTAAATAAATAAATGTAAATAACAATAAATAAAATATACATAAAAAAACGTATCTGTACTTATGAAGAAAGGTAATGGTCCTTAATTAGTTTTTTAAAGAGAGCGATAGATTTAGCGTCTCGAATGTTAGGCGGCAGAGAATTCTACAGTATCACAGCATAAACGGTGAAGGAAAGGAGAAGAAGTCGGTATTATGAGGCACAATTTTAAGATTGGACTTAAGATGAGAACGAGTAAGGACTTCAGGAGGACGGACCACGGAGAAACGGTCACGGAGGTACGCAGGATAAGTTGGATTAAAGAGGGTATTATAGAGGAGACATAAAATGCGAGTGTTCCTGCGAAAACTGATAGGGAGCCTATTGCGGAATTCGGAGACATGATCATACTTTTTAAGACCGAATACAAAGCGGATACATTGATTTTGCAATCGCTCAAATTTATTTAAAAGCCCTTTTTATTTTGTGTTTTCAAAGTCAAAGTCAAAGCATTTATTTCAATTAAACCATAATTTGGTACTTATGACACGTCAACAAATACAAAATAAATAATAGTCTGTCAGTCAGTCCGTCAGTGAAGCTAGGTGAAGCTAGGTGCTCATTCCCAAATGTAGATTCGAATGGAGAAGAACGAGCAAGAAACTCCATTCGTTACTCTTTTTAAAAAAGTATGATCTACCTCTACAATGTCTCTGATACATATTTCAATACTGTACGCATATGTAAGAACAATGCAAAGACACGCTTGACGCATTATACCAGTAACATACTAAAATAAAAATCTTATGACTGCCCCGTTGGCCAGACTGCCTCGTTGGCCGAGTGGTCGCAAGTGCGACTGCCGGGCAAGGGGTCTCGGGTTCGATTCCCGGGTCGGGCAAAATATTACTGGGTTTTCTCAGTAGT